GATAGATAGATAGATAGATAGATAGATAGATAGATAGATAGATAGAAGATAGATAGATAGAAGATAGATAGATAGATAGATAGATAGATAGATAGATAGATAGATAGATAGAAGGATGGAAAGACAGACAGAGTATATACAGTTTTCATATTTTATTTTTTCCACTGGAGGAAGGATAGTCTCCTTTTTCCCATATAGGTCAGAGAACTAGGTATGGGTGAAGAACTCAGAATTTTTTTTCCAGTATCTATAGTTCCTTCAATCTGGGCCACTTATCCCGGAAATAGCCCTCACATTTAGTTCTAATCTAATTGTTTCTCAGTGGTCTCACTATTAATTAAGACTGATATGTGAGGTTAGGTGGAAGAAATACTGGATATTCAGGCAGCCCTGGCATTGTAGGCCCCTCAAAAGCTCTCTAAAGAAATTCTCTAGGTTTTGCATAGAACTCCAGTTAAGAGCAAGTAACCCTAGATATAGCAGATAATACAAAAATGTTTGAAAAAACATGATGAATTCTAGCATCATGATATAGGTTATTGTAATGTAGAACCAAGCAATTCTGGTCCATAGATATATAACATGCTAGATATTCTGAAAATAAAATGTCGGCCATTTTTGTTCCAGAACTGAGGACCAAACCCAAGGTCTTGGGCTTGCTACACAAGCACTCTACCACTGAGCTAAATTCACAACCCTTAACTTTTATGGACATATTTTAGAGAAAAGTAAGAAAGAATCAGGATTTAAGACTTATAGTGGTTCCTACCAATATCTGATGCCAGCTTATAGAGTTTCCTAGAATGTATTGAACTGATCTTGCTTGTTTTGGGGGGATATCATTGCGTAGAGAAGGGTTTCTAGCATTGAACTCAGCAATCCAAAGACACCCCATTTAATGCTTAGCTTGCAATCCTATCAGGAAGGAGGAGATGCAACAAGTTGATGAGATGAAATGTGGAGGTACCCGCAGTTGAAAGGTTCAGATGAGGTGGCTCACTCCAGAACATTAATCAAGAAGTCAGAATAAGGAAAATTAAATACAGGAGGAACCCTGACAATATGTGAGGAAAGCCTCTATTTGTTAATGCTTTAATGATTGCCATTACATGTCATCATGGGAATAAAAGAAATAGTACAATGGGGATTCTTCTTTGAGAAATCAAGCCCACACTGTATATGATATATTAGAGGGTGGTAATATTTATTTTATAACAACTTCAGAGGTTATAATCCATGGTCACACATGAGGAGGGATGGGTAGGATGTGGTAAATGACAACATATGTACTTTCCACCATGTCCGCCAAGATCTGTTTCTTCCAACTAGATCATCACCTACTTTCTTTTTTATTTTTTATTAAATTTATGTTTTAGAACAATCTTTTCTCATTTCACACACATATACCACATCGCAGTCCCTCCCCTCTTCCTGCTCTCTCCTCCTTCCTTCCACCCCAGTCTCCCATCACTGCTCTAAGAGTAAAAGGCTTCCGAAGTGAAGGCAAGAAAGTCTGACATATCAATCTGAGGCAGGATCCAGTCCCTCCCTCGTATATGTAAGCTGAGCAATGTATCCATCCAAAATGAATGGTCTACACAATGCCAGTTCAAGTATTAAGGATAATCACCATATTTAATGTAAATCTCTCTGATAATCTGTAATAGAGGAACTCGGATCAGCACAAAATTGTGTGTGTGTCTCATATTTCTGGCTGACCAGCTTGCAAGCACAGAATTCAATCAGACTATCTGGAATATCAAGAGTACAGATGTATGCTCCATTCAGTTTCTAGTGGACATTTGTTACATTCATCTTGAGGCTTTGCATTTTAGAAATTATGTAGATATAAGAAATTATCTCAAACCTTTTAAGTATACAAAGCAACATTTGTGATACAGTAATGCCTTGATTAGTTTAATTATAACTCATGAATGTAGGAATATAATCAGTCAAATTACAAACATTAACAGTTTCTTCAGATTTCTTGTTAACACTTATTTGTATTTTATGTCAAAAATGATTATCTCTGAAATACTTATAGCATACCAGAGAGCTTGAAATAAAACAGTACCCTCTAGACAGTACAAGACTACTGTAGTCATGAACTCCAAAGTCAAGCCAGTCAACACTCAAGCATGGAAGAGAAAGGTGCTCACAGGCCCCCACACATTACTGAGAAATTGGTGGCAGTTGATGGTTTTTGGAGGAGAAAGGGTCAGTTTAATTTAGGGTGTGAATGTCAGGTAGTTTGAGCAAACAGTGATGGCTCTTACACATGAGCATATGGATATGGAAATAATAAGGCTAACTAAAGGATACAACAATTTTATTTTTAATTATTATAAGGGGGAAACTCAAGAAACAGGAAATGAGAAATCCAACCATAGCAGTGTCCAGCCAGAATGGCACAAGCGAGAGCAATGGACAGTGCACAGGTTTTTCCTCGGGTCCCAGAAACCCACACCTTACCTGGGCTCCATTTCCTAAAGATAATTGGCTAACAAGGTTTTGCCATCATATGGTCATACAGGGTTGCTCAAGGTAGGCTATTTAAAACAAAGCTAAATGCATGGGGTTAAGAATGTTAGAAATAAGGGAGTAGATCAGGAATCATTTAAGAGAAATGAAGGAAATATGATCAAAATACTCTGTACACATGGATGAAATTCTCAAAGAATTGTAAAATTGTCTATGTTAAAGGTTAAAGCTCAATAGCATTAAAATTTGATGGAAACTTTTATCTTTTGAAAGAAAAGAGTAAGGAAATCACTGTCAGTGAAATTGAGATTTTGACACTGGACTAGAAGCATTTTTTCTGCAAACCCAGATAATGAATGGGCCTGGCTAAGTTGAATCACCTGTGCTTTTAATTGTCTTCTTTTTCTTTCCTTAGGAAGAATTCCATAAATCCTGTCATTCTTATTGCACAATTCCACAAATGTTTTCCTCATCTTCAGGGAAAAGTCATCTTAAGTGGCATTTCATATTCTTTCTTTCAGTGAATAAATATTTGACTCTGAAGTACCCTAGCACCTGACTGAAATGTGGGAAGTGTGTTACTCAGTTACTTAATTTTATTTTGGTTTTTTGAGACAAGGTTTCTTTGTGTAGCTTTGGAGCCTATCCAGGAACTCACTCTATAGAACAGATGGCCTGATATTAGTTACTTAATTTTAAGAAGAATTCATCATTGTTTCAGTATTCCCTGTGGATTCTGTAATTATTTTGGATACCTTCTGTACTAGGGATTTTATTGCTGTGAAGAGACACCACAACCACTGCAACTCTAATGAAGAAAAACGTTTAATAGGGCGTGGCTCACAGGTTCAGAGGTTTATAGTCCATTATCATAACTGCAGGGCATAGGGGCATGCAGGTAGACATGGAGAAGGAGCTACATCTTCATCCCACAGGGAAGAAAACGTGCTCTGAAACACAAGACATGGCCTGAGTATACGACACCTCAAAGCTCTCCCACACCATGACATACATCCCCCAACAAGGCCACACTTACCCCAACAAGGCCACACACCTAATAATATAAGACCCATATTAGCTTACAGGGACAACTGCATCCAATTAACACACCTCCAAGATACCCTTAGAAGGGAGAATGACCCGCTTTATGGTGTCTCTAATAGAAGAGGTTTTTGATGAGGAGAGCACTTTTTCTTACAGGAAATCATGATAATTTGGCTGACAAATAAGTTTAGAAGAAACACAGTGAATGCAGAGGAAAAACTACTTTCTCCTTTCAACCAGCTTAGGTCCCTGTTGGGGACTCCACAAAATAACGGAACTTAAAAGAGAAAAGCATGAAGACTTACCTAGCACAAGCTATCACAACTCCAGAGCCTTCCTGAGGAAGGGAAACCTTCAACAGTCTTAGACCTGACATTTCTACCAGAGTTGATGGAAAATGGAACATTATAGAGTGGACATATTAAAACAAATAAGAGTCAAGCAAGGGAATGCAAAGAGAGAGGGCTTTTTGCTCATGTCCTCTGTGTGTGCCTTAATCAGTCTTCAGATATGAAGGTGCTCTTTCCTCCACGGAGGGACTTGTGGTGCTTCTGACCTGCTTCAGGAAATTGTCAGAAAGCCCTTACTTTCGAAAATTATATTTTTCTTTCCTTTCTGTTATTTATTTTAAAAGAAAACAATCATTTTTTCATTTTACATACGAATTTCAGTTCCTATTCCCATTCTCTCCACCTTACCCATCCCAGCACACATCCCATCCACTAGTCATAGAGAGAGGGTAAGGCACATAGCTTTGGGGAAAGTCCAAGGCCCTCCCTACTATATCTAGGCTGAGCAAGGTATCCATCCAAAGAGAAAAGGTTCTAAAAAAGACAGTAGAAGCAGTAGGGACACTTCCTGGTTCCACTGCCAGTTGCCCTGCAGTCTGCCCTAGCCATGCAATTGTCAAACACATTCAGAGAGACAAGTTTGGACCTATGCTGGTTCCTTCCCTGTTCTGCTGGCGTTGTTCAGCTCCCATTAGCTCAGGTAAACTGTTTCAGTGGGTGCCCCCATCATGGTCTTGACCTCTTTGCTCATATTCTCATTCCTCCCACTCTTCAACTGGACTTTGGGAGCTTAGTCCAGTGCTCCAAAGTAGGTCTCTGTATCCATCAGTTGTTGGATGAAGGTTCTATGGTGATATTTAAGATATTCATTGATGTGACTACAGAGCAAGACTAGTTTGGGCCCCATCCCCTCTATTGCTTAAAGTCTTAGCTTGGGTCATCCTTGTGGATTCCTGGGAATTTCTCTAGAGCCAGGTTTCTTGCTAGCCGTATAATAGCTCTCTGAATAAAGATATCTTTTACCTTGCTCTCATCTCTGTTCTTCCTCTATCTCGACTATCTCATTCCCTCAAGTTCTCCTCCTCCCTCCCCTTCTCCGTTCCTCTCTTCCTCTTCCTTTTCTGCCCTCCCTACTCCCTCACAACCATGCTCCAAATTTTGACAGGTAATCTTGTCTTTTTCCCCTTTCCATGTGGATCTATGTATTTCTTAGGGTTCACCTTGATACTTAGCTTCTCTAAGATCATGGACTATAGGCTCTATATCCTTTCCTTTACAGCTAGTATCCACTTATGGGTGACTACATATCATGTTCATCTTTCTGGGTCTGGGGTGCTTTTATTCATTTGCATGCAAATTTCAAGATGCCATTGTACACTGAGTGGTACTCTAATGTGTAAATGTGCCAACTTTCTTAATCCATTTTCAGTTGAGGGGCATCTAGATTGTTTCCAGGATCTGACTATTACAAATAATTCTGCTATAATCATAGTTGAACAAATGTCCTTGTAGTATGTTGGGCATCTTTTGGGTATATGCCCAACAGTGGGATTGCTGGGTCCTGAGTTAGGTTGATTCTCAGATTTCTGAGAAACAACCATACTGATTTCCAGAGTGTTTGTACAAGTTTACGTTCCCACCACCAGTGGAGGAGTGTTCCCCCCTTACTCCACATCCTCTCCAGCATAAGCTGTCATTGCTGTTTATGATCTTGGCCATTCTGCATGATGCAAGGTGGGATCTGAGAGTTGTTTTGATGGCGTTTCCCTAATGATTAAAAATACTGAACATTTCTTTAAGTGTCTTTCAGCCATTTGAGATTCTTCTGTTTATATTTCTCTGTTGAGTTCTGTATCCCATTTTTAATTGGATTATTTGGAATTTTGATGTCTAATGTCTTGAGATTTTATATATTGTGGAAATCAGTTCTTTGTCTGATGTGGGGTTGGTGAATATCTTTTCTCATTCAGTAGGCTGCCTTTTTGTCTTATTGACTGTGGCCTTGCTAGGCTGTATAGTCAGCTTCATGGGAAGAGCAGAGTCCATCCTCACATTCATTCTTGTGCTCAAAATACTTGTCTAGTCACCATGTTTTCAGGTAGCATAATCTGAGCACCACCAAATATGAAATGAAGACAAAGCACTGGGTATAATTTCTGATTTGCATTTGTGTATGATCCTAAAATGCAGCAGTTAGTGCAATTATGAATTTAAACATTAACCTTAGTATACTCTGTTCTATGTACATCATTTTGAATCATTGTTTCAGTTATCCTTGTTTAATAAATATCTGGAGACTGAAATATACAAGTTAATTCATCCAACTGGAATAGTCTTGACTAAGTCTTTGAGACTTTAGTATTCAGAAGATTAACTTCTGAAGTACCTTGGAAATTTAATTTGACATTTGTAATAACATTATATTTAGATGTGTGTAAAGTCTATAGCTGATTAAATACTAAAACCTGCACTGTCCACAGGGACATGAACAACACTAATAACCAATAAATTTACAACAGAAAATACATCAGGAGCAGCAGACAGATTGTCAGAGGCACAATGCCAAGAAGGAGCATGTCATTTCCTTAACTCTCTCTGGAATCTTCCTTGGTGGTTTTTCATATTCAGTGGTGGTTTCCATTAAGAACTCACTTACATACATGGCAGTGTAGCTTCACTTTGTTTTTCCCCAGGTGTTACTTTATCAAGCAGTTTCTTCAAGCTATACAGAAAACAGTCCTTCCCTAAATAATTGTTACACCCAGGGTGAGCTTTAATTAAGAGCACTAGTCATTTGAAGCAAATGTCTGAATAATCATTCAATTCCTAAGTGCTTGAGGAATTTCAGTATTAGAGGAACTTCAGGTTCCCAGCAGCACCGTGCTCAAAGAGTCCACTCAGAACTGTCTGAGTCAAGGAAATTTCTGTGCTGAAGAAATTAATCAAGCCTTCAATACAGTGGTTGTGTATGCTCCCCTAGAGGGCCGCATACGATTAATTACCCAGGTTGCTTGTAGTTTCCTGGCATCAGTTCAAGGCCATGAATATCTACTGAAATGTGACTCAGACATTGCTATGCTGCTGGGTTTTTTTTTTTTTCAAAAGAATGTATCTGAACTATTGGAGAAATGGACTGTTTTTATAGTTCACAGTGTGTATTTTTCAGCTCAATTTCTAGTAGCTTTAAAAGTGGAGAAAAAAAGAAACTCGGGTGCTGTCTTATCCTTGAGGAAGCAAGGAGTGAATGAGCCCAGCTCAAATGTAATGCTGCATTGTGCAGCTGAGTAGAGCTGGTGGGAGCTCAAAAGCTGGCAGGGCAGGTCCCCAACAGACCTGTGTCCCCGCTGTCTTCCTCACCTAGGTTTGAAAACCTCCAGCATGATCTGGAACTGCCCACAGTCCAGAATGAGAGCCTCCTGCAGACGGACCTGCTGCAGCAGGAGCCCTGTGTGCCAGGCCAATGAGCCACCATTGATTCTGTCCCCTGCAACCTTGGCATTCATGGAGTGGATTTTCTCCCTTGACGTTTGTTTCCCTTGTGTGGACAGGTCTTGGTTTTGTCTAGGCTGTGGTCCAGTGAGGCTTCCTATGGGTCTGATTGTCTTTCCTTCTCTGACAGCTCCGCTTTGGAGAACTGGGGAGGCTGAAGGAAGCTTCACACATTCTCCACTCGAGCAGCAACACCTACTGAGAAGCAGATCCCTCATCATAGATATGAACAAACCAGTGAGGAAAATCTCCACCTAATGCAGGGGATCCATCCCCAACCTGATTCAAGTTCTGTTGGTGCACCATTCCTGGAGAAAAAAAATCATTAGAAAGAAGCCTGAGATTCAGAGGACCAACCAAGAATGACTCCAAATCCCGACATTGGTCAGCAGGTGGACACAGAGTGGCGCACAGCAGCATGGGGAGGATATGTTGCTGAACAAGGCTTCCTCTGCCAGTTACTCCCCATGTCTTTAGTAAGCCGGCTGAGCCCTCCATATGTGGTGAGGGCTCACTAGAAAGACTGTACTGAGGCCGTGCTGTAGTCTATACACACCACAGGGAAAAGAACAGGATTCCCACTCCTGTGAGTGCTGAGGCGGAACCCATGTCACAGGAAAGTGTTGGTGAAGATAACGCACGACAGAGACTACAGCATCCCTCAGCTGTGTTAGTCATTGATTGTCCATAAAGAAAATGTCTGGGGATTCTCCAATTTCACAGCCTGGACTGGCATGACCAATCCTGACTAAGGATTTATAGAGGAGGTCTGGTCACCGTTGGTGTCCTTTGAGAGCCAGATGCTCTTGATGGTTTTGTTGGATCTAGAGTTAGAGGATATTTTTATCTTAATTTGGAAGGTGGGGGCAATTCTGGTTTAGGTTTGGGTTTCGTTTACTTGGGTATTTTTTCTTTCCTTTGTTTAAATTTTGTTCATTTTTGTTAATTATTTTTTTCTTGTTTTAATAGTTGGTTAAGGCTCTACACTGTATATACTGACTAAAACCTCTATTGAATAAAATTACTATTTTTATGAATAAAAATCAATTTTCAAGTTCTAGATTTTTCCACCTTTCTTGAGTCAGGCATGGTGTTGCTCTCCTGTGACTCCAGAACTCACAGGCAGAGATGGATTTCTCCACATTCCAGGAGGCTTGGTTACCCAGTGGTTTCGCATCCAGGCAGGTCTACACAGGAGGGTACTACCTTGGGTGTGGATGGTCTGGCTTACTTCTGTCTTTATGACCTTGACTTTATGTTAACAGCCAGATATAAGAGAATGTTATGAAGAAGGGCTCTGGAAAGAAAAAAACTGCCCATCTGCACTACATTAGTTCTATTCCAGTGTCCAATCACAATTGCCCATTGTGATCCTGAAATGGCAAAACAATGAAGGTGGCTTTTGAAATGCATGTGCTAAGTTAAGTGTATCCACAGCAGAGGGGAACTTCTGAGCTGCAAGTTTAAATTCTGGAAATGCCTTCCAATCTCTGACTTCTAAACCATGACTCTTACATTGGGGAGCTATAGAGTAAGGGCCTGTTCCAGCACAATTAATACATGGGACCATATGAAAATGAAAAGCACCTGTAGGGCAAAAAGCATGTAAATAGGTCAAAACAGCCAGCTAGAAAATGAGAACAGTTCTTCACAGTCTCCACATTCAATAAAGGACTAATATCCAGAATATATAAAGAACTCAAAAAATTCGGCATCAAAAAAACAAATAATCCAATT